CCCATTTGGCCTCACTTTCTTCCGTTTCCGATCAATCCAAAAATGCTTATAAGCTGAAAAATTACGACTTAGAGATGATAAACTTATGACTTTTGACTGATTTGAGTTCATAAGAACAGTAAGCACTTGACTTAAAAGCACATCGGATATTTTATTAAATGTATAAATATGTCAGAAAAGTATGTGTATATTAATTTGATTCGTTTATAAGCTTAGTAAACATCTTATTGATAAAATATTAATATGTAAATTGAAACAATGTAATGGGTCTAAGTGTAATTTAAGAAACAAAGTGGATATGTTTTTGCATTATGTAAAAGTTGAAGGATTGGTCTTTGTTATGAGGAGTTTCATATGGAATTGTTTGTAGGTGAAACGGTGGATCTCGATTTGTTGTGATGAATTCAAATGAGTTTGTTCATAGTTTTGGACTCACTTTTATTTGTTTTTTTGCTTTCTTACTTAATTTGGAAAAAAGGATGGCTTTTTGTGTTGAGTTCATGGGAATGGTTACAAGAGGTGAGAAGGATTTTTGGGTTTTTGATACGTTTTTGATAGATAAAAGATATAATAAACTTTTAATACTTCAAAATATTGGGAATGGAGATAGAACTTGTATGCGATTCATTGAAATCTTCATATATATATATAAGAATTATATTATACATCTCTAGTTGTGAATTCAATTGTTGTTGTAGTATTGAGTTGAAGTTTAATTAAATTCATAAATTTCAAATTATGAATTTAATTTTGTCCAAAATATGTTATAATACTATTATTATTATTATTAAAAAAAATATTCAATTAGGGATCGTTTGAATCAAATACATATTATTAATATAAAAATGGTAATTAAAGTCTTATCAACATGTATTTATATCAAATTAATTCAATTTACTATGATTGTGTGTTTAGTGAATTACTTGTATACATTTATAATATAAATTGTGGCTAAGTAAATATGTGAATATACATGGCATGCATTAGTTATTTTCAGGCTAGAAATTAGTGGGTTTTAATAGTGAATTAACTCAAATTCATATCAAGATGTTCAATAAAGGAAAAAAATATTGCCTTCCATGTCTAAAACTCAAGTTTTTAAATTAAAAATAAATGACTCATATTTATTTCATCGTAATTTTTAATTATTTTTAATAGTCGATTATGAATAATTGTTAGATAGAACAATATTAAATAAAAATAATGAGAGAGAAAAACGATTTCGCGTAGCAATATGAAATTCCCTTCATATAGTTAGTGGTACTCTTCAATGCAATTCGCATTAGTTAATTGTTTTGATAGTCAAAAAAAATTATTACGATAGATTCTTTTTAAAAACAGTCCATTATTAGTTAGTTATAGAAATGGGGTAATTTTTTTCATTCATTTTTAAAATTTATCTTTGTATAACATTTTCAAAAAACATAAATAGAAAATCATATTTTTTTTAAAAAAAATATTGCAACCTAATATTTAAATAAGTTTAAATATATTTTTTTAATAATAAAAATAAAAAATGTGACGGGGCACTCTAGCAGGAGAGAAATAATGTATTTTTTTGTGTCAAGTATATTTTGATGAAAATAGACAAAGTTGAGTAATATTTTATCCTAAAACAAACATAAATGATATTATTAGATAATTTTCCAAATATTACTATGTTGGGAAATTACTCCAATATTTATAAGACGAACTCATAATTATAGCACTGTAGATTATATATATGGATGGTCTAATAGATCTACGAGAACCACAATTAATATTTTTTTTGATAAAAAAATAATAATTCATCAATCTATTAGTTCTTCTTCTGAACTGTTTTTTTTTAAAATGTGATGAAAAGATATATATTAATCGTTAACAACATTATAACTTAAAAGAGTTTTGTTTGGTAGTAGATTTATGCTCATATCTCTATTAGTAATGTAAAAATTAGTTGCGAGAGAATTTACTTTTATACATATAGTAGTTATAACTTGTCAAAAGAATTAATTATACATGTGTTAGTTATTCTACCTTCTATTCTACACAAATAAATAATAGTCCTTTATAAATTTCTAAATTTTCAATCAAACGTCCTATTAATTTTATATATGAATAACTTATTTTCTATTTACATATAAATCGTTGTACAAGTTAAACAAAAAAATAATATATAAATAATTTATTTCTTATCCAGTTGTCGAATGATATATATTAGTTTTCATAGTAGGGGCTAACAATATTCCTACTAGTATTATTAATGGTCGATCATATGGAAACAATGCGTCTTAGTGGATGTTGCATCACTTTGATTACTTTGTCTCGTTTGTTGGAAATGAAATGACTCCAATATATATGAAATTTGTTATGCTATGGCTTAGTAATTACTACTATTACTTTGTCAAGTACTAATAATCATTGAAATACTTTCTTGGTGGTGGTTTGCTTAGATTTATTTACATACGTTTTTAATCGAACAATATTATGGATCTAGACATAAAACTTTCATTCTTGATGTTTCAATTTGGTTCTCTAGAATTTCTAAGAAAGTAAACACAATTATATACTTCACGTAATGCTTTAGTTGTCGATAAGATATGTCTATTATTGTCTTAAACACTCATTTTAATTATAAGAAAAACAAAACTTCGTAAACTCGATTAATCATTAAATTATATATAAAAGTATAGACGACTATTTTTTATTGAATAAATGAAGAAAAAGGGGAATCGAAGCTTGACGAGCTTTATAATGTCTATCACTATATGAGCAAGCTCTTCATTTCTAAAATTTATTTATGATTTATGTTTGTCAGATTCAACGTTTAAGGTCTTATTAACATTGAAATTATAGTTTTAAATTATGGATTCAAATCTAATATATTTAAGTTGTCAAATATCTCGCATCAAATATAATTAATGAATTTAGATAAGTTTGTATTTATCTATGTTCTTAGTCCATGAATTAAGAAAAAAAGTTATTCGTACTTTGCGTTCACGTTAAATCAATGGTAACATATTACACGTCCTCTATTTACACTTGCAGCTCTTAATTACATATGATCTATCAACATTTTTTTGCTCATCAATTTATTAGCGCACCTAATTATTGTAATATTTTTAATAAAATAAGTGTGGTTTAATATGACAAATAGAGTGTAATTTTTTTTAATTTTGTGAAACCATACCCAAATTTGATGATTATTTTGTACCTAATTCAGCCTTTTTGGACCGCATTCATCAATAAATGCCTCGTTGCAATTTTATTTTATTTAGATTCATAAAATAAAATAAATGACTAAAAACTATTTACCTCAAATTTATTTGTATATGCATTTCTCAAAGAAAATGAAAGAAAAAACATGAATAAGGCTGTTAATTTTTTATACACTACACAAATTTATATGACTTATACGCTTCTTTTTCTCTTTAGATAATGATTTGCTAAACACATGGGATCCTCCAAAGTTAAGATTGATTGCCCTAAAAAATATTCAACTTGAAGTATTATATTATACTCTTAAATATCCAACTAGATATACTTTCCCAAATTGCTATATTTAAAATCATATTTCTAGTACTTATTGATACTTAAATTTCCTCAAGTGGGGAAGTTTGATATTACTGACAACTCACAATATTTTACTAATTATAAGTTGGATTGCCTTTTGGCCTATATCATTTTTATGCTCTTTTTTAGAAGGGCCTCAAATGGGAAAGGGATTGAAATACTCTAATAGCTTTTGACCTATGTAAATACTTTGTGGTTTTTTCTAAAGCTTCTCCTTTTATAGATTTAAATTTATGAATAAATAATAAATAAAGGTGATGAAATTATATTTTTAACTTTTGGCTAAAGTATACTGAACTAGACTTCAAGCAATAGAATTGAATTAAGATTCTTAAAATTCATTATAGAATGAAGTTATTGGTGTAATATACCATAAATATAACAAATTATAGTTGAAATAAAATGAACAAAAATGTATAAAACAAATCTTTAGGCTGAGGCGTGCGAATAACTCGCTCTCTTTATGGAGATTCAAGCCCAATGTGACATAATCTACACCGATTCAGCAGTATTACTCTTGACTTGTCCCCTCAAATATGAAACAATTCAACAACGTGTACAACTCAATCAACTTTGAATTAATTGAAGAGTCCAAAATTCCACAAAAAAAAACATTTTCTTCAACATATAATACTCTCTTTTGTATATCGTGAATATAGTTGAAGATTTAGAATTTTCTTTGTCTCAACTCTTTCTTTCACTATTACTATGCTACAAACTAAAATATTGTTTCACACTTCTCATCTTTCTTGATATATCACACTGAGTTGTGCAGGGCGCCAACCCCTAAACTACAGGAAGCTCTTCCTAGCGCATTGATGGGGTGGTGTGCCAACCACCGAAATTCCCGATGAAATTTCTTTTCCGTATTTCGACCCTAATTCAGCTGTAATCGAGTGATTTCTTTCCAATTCACTTAAGTACACGGTAACTTACTCAAAACAAGTAAACAACCCTCAAATCACTAATATTTATCTCACGAACTCATCAAAACCCAAACAATCAAAATTAAGAATGAAATTATAAGAAAACTCATCAAGAACTCAAATCCTTCAAACTCAAGAACGAAATTGCATTAAAGTTGCATGATTGACGTGTGAGTGAATGAACCCAACACTATGAGAACTCACATACCTCTCATGGGTTAAACCCTTTGCACAAATCCGCAACAAAATCCAAGAATCTCGACGAACGCCTTGAACATTTCCTATTTTCTTTTCTTTTCTATTCTTGAACTCTTTTCTAAAACCCTAAGCGTAATTAGGATTGTGAAAACCGACTTAAATAAAATTTATCCCCAAAAAATAATACTAAAAATGATAAAAGTCGATAGGGAAGGAAGAGACCAAAATACCCCTCAATAATTTCTAAAAAATAAAATAAGAAAGTAACCAGTAAATTGCTAAATTTTTTTAAAAGGAAAATCAAGTAATCAACTAATCGGGTCGGGTAAACAGTTGGGCTCATATTGAAACGGGTGGAATCCCCAATCATAAATATCAAAGCGAGGGAAATCCAAACGACGAGAGGCGGCAAAATTTACCAAATTTTGTTGAAACAAATATATTAGCTCTGTATCTCTTCTCCGTCTCCAAACACTGAACAGTTTCATAATCCAATTCTACCATGGATATACTTCGAAATCTCTATATTGAGCTACGATATTCAGCTTCTCATGATTGTTCTGAAGTTCTCCAGGAGCGTTGTTGATTTGGATTGATGTTTCAACTTGAATATGCAGCATCGGTATGACTATTTGAGATCTCTTTCATTGATGCTTTTGAGGTGATTTACGTGCTTATTGTAGTTTATTTGAATTCATAATATTGATTATGAGATCTCTCTCCCTGTGCTATTGATTATGAGTACATGAGATCTCTCTGCGATTGAGATAGCAATTACTTGAAAACATGAAAATAGATGTTTTGAGGTGATTGATATGACAATTATAGTTGAAATGAAGTTTGAATTCACAGCATTGATTATGAGCACATGAGATCTCTGTGCTTGAGATAGTAATTACTTAGAAACATGAAAATAGATGTTTTGAGGTGATTGATGTGCTAATTATAGACTTGTAGTTGAAATGAAGTTTGAATTCACAGCATTGATTATGAGCACACGAGATCTCTGTCACTGAGGTGTTTGTTACGTGGTTATTTGAAAATACGACAATAGATGCCGCTGTGGTTACTGATCTGCAAAGTTTAGTCGAAATGAAGTATATTTGAATTTATAGAATGATTATGAGTACATGAGACGTCTCTGTCCTTGAGATGTTTGTTGAGTAATTATTTGAAATATGAAAATAGATGCAGTTGAGGTTACTGATCTGTAAAGTTTAGTCCAAATGAAGTATATTTGAATTTATAGAATGATTATGAGTACATGAGATGTCTCTGTCCTTGAGATGTTTGTTAAGTAATTATTTGAAAATATGAAATAGATGCAGTTGAGGTTACTGATCTGTAAAGTTTAGTCGAAATGAAGTATATTTGAATTTATAGCATGATTATGAGTACATGAGATGTTTCTGTCCTTGAGATGTTTGTTAAGTAATTATTTGAAAACTTGAGAATAGATGCTTTTGAGGTGATTGATGTGCTAGTCAAAATGAAGTTTGTTTGAATTTACAGCATTGATTACGAGTACATGAGATCTATCTGTCATTGAGATATTTGTTAGTTAATTATTTGAAAACACATAATTGATGCTTTTGAGGTGATTGATGTGCTAATGATAGTCGAAGTGTAAGTTCATTTGAATTTACAACATTGATTACGAGTACATTAAATCTCTATATGATTGAGATATTTGTTAGGTAATTACTTGGAAAGATGAAAAATGGATGCAGCTGAGGGGATTGATGTGCAAATTGTAGTTGAAATGAAGTTTAGTTGAATTTATAGCATGACAATGAGTACATGAGATTTCTCTGTAATTGAGATATTCGTTAGGTAATTACTTGGAAACATGAAAATAGATGCAGTCGAGGTGATTGGTGTGCAAATTGTATTCGCAGTGAAGTTCTTTCGAACATGTTGTATTGATTATGTGTACATGGGATTTCTCTGTCATTGAGGTATGTGTTAAGTGATTGTTTCAAAACATGAAAATAGATGTTTTTGAGGTGATTGACGTGTGAATTGTAGTCGAAATGAAGTTATTTGAATTTATAGCATTGATTATGAGTACATGAGATTGCTCTGTGTTTGGGATACCTGTTAAGTAATTACTTGAAAACATGAAAATAGATGCCTTCTGAGGTGATTAACGTGCATGGTAGGTGTAGTCAGATTGAAGTTGTAACACAGTGATATAAACATCGATGGCAGTTTCTAGAGGAATCTGCGGTCAACAGCGGGATTTTGCAGTGAGATGCATGTTACTTTGCGAGGTGAATATATGCCTTTATGATGGCTTTATTACTAGTTTGTAAACTTCAAATTAAAGTGTAAAGTGGTCATATGTTGATCGTGGTTTAAGATGAATATGAGTTATTCCGTTAGTTGGTTTCCTTATATATCTTGGTGTTAATGTGCTTTAACTCAAAAAGAACGAGTTATATGAGTTTGTTTGCTTCTAAAATCTCTTCTTCATATGTTCTGTATGTCAAAAGCTACAGGAAGTTGATGACAGATCCATTGAGACGTCAAACTCAAGGGCTTTTGGCTCAAATATGAAAGCAGATATATAGTTTAAAACCCACCCTCTCACTTAAAGTTCTTCATTCTAAAATTTCAATATGCTAATGCTACTACACATGTTTATGCTCATCTTATTGCTAATGCCTATGTATAGAGGTTGAGAGATGTCTCCATGCTCTTCCGATGACAGTTAATAAGGTTTTCTCAGCTTCAAACAAAGGTATGATGTAAGAAAAAAACAGCTGTTAGGACTTCCAAGTGTCTTTATGCATCTACTTTCAGTTGTGATTTTCAAAACTGTATGTCTAGCTAGTAGTTGCAAACAGCAGATGTAATTGTTAGATGTATTTCCGTGATGTCTTGGCTGACTTATGAAGTATTTATGAAGTATGAATAGCGTATTATTTCAAGCTAATCTCTACAAGGGTGCTAGTATCATGAATAGAATGAGTATATTCGTATAGTCCTTGCTAGTCCTGTTTTTTATATTACAAATACTCCTTGCTAGTCCTGTTTTTTATATTTACCCTCGAGTCTTCCTTATGTTTAGTTGAGACAGTTCACATTATAACATTGTTAACTTGTTCAAACTATTGCTACTTGTTGGTGCAGCTCCCGTCTTTAACAAAAATGGGTTTATAGATATTTTTGCATGCTCGTATATAAGCCTGCTTTGCTTACGAGAAACCATTCCTTTTACATATTACCACAAGATTTAGTTTTAATATTCGCCTCATGTTTTATGCGGGGGGTGCTAAACTAGTTTTTGTAAGTTATGAGCCAAGTGTATGATTGCCATAGAAGAGCACCAATTTTATTACTCTTTCTATCCTTTGAAGGGAAAATGAAAACCAACTAAATTTGAGATCTCACTGGGCTAAAAGAGCACTAGCCTGTTGAAGAATTCAATGATTGTTGGTAATAGAAATGACCACCCTAAGTATCAGCTACAAGTAATCGATTATCATCTCATTTACTCTCTTGCTACAACTTACTTACATGTTAGAGAATGCCTATCTTTTTTCTTTCCTAAGGTTTATAACATCATGGTACTGCATGTTGTTAGCTTGTTCAGCCCGGATGGCTGCCTTGCTGATTCAGTTGGACACTGTACCCTAGTTTTCATCTGGCTTTCCTTTTGTCCTAGTCAACTTGCTGGCTGGAAAGTGCAACCTTGCCATGAGTGGTCGTGGTGCTCGTAACTTCTTGTCAAAACCCCTCACACAAACAAATCCTGTGAAATACAGTTCTTTGTCAGAAAACAAATAAAAGGTTTTGCAGTTAACACTTTTCCCCCCTAGCTACATGAACAATTATTACTTCCTTATAATTTTGTTTTTATGATTTGATCCAAAGAGTAAGGCAAAAGGGAAAGTCGCTGACATGCTTGGTGCTCATGCCGGCTTAATTTGAGTCTTTTTGAATTTGCATAATGATGTAACATGCATGCTGATTTACTTGGTAGAAATGGATAAGAAGCTTAGACAAGCATTTGGACCTCTGAACCTGAGGTTTTCAAACTACATACCTCTCCAAAAGCAATGTTGGATACTTTCTGTGGTTAGGCCTGATTAACAGAGAACACACATACTGTTATTTTACTCCGAAATCTTTTTAAAAAATAAATAGGTTTCATTCTTTAGTTTGTTTACCTTTGAATATTGATGGTATAGAGGTTCCGAAGTAAACTGTTCGTCGCGGCAGATTCCATAGCCAATTTCTTGGGACATCAATTGGCTTGAGGCTGGATTCATGGTCTGCAAACACCTGAGGAATAGCAAAATTGTTACTATTAAAGCCTTATCAAATGCAAAAAATGCTCGCTCGAGTTGAGGAAACGTTGGTTGTATTCACCTCGTTAACCTGGAAGTATGTACCATTGAGCGGAAAGCTACCTCTCATAGCTGTTCTACATGGTATCTGTTAGAAAGTATATTCAGAGATGATCAGGATTATCGTATCACTTTCCCATGACATACACTAAAACAGTTTGTTCTCTTCTCTTACCAGAATTGTCCCTCTCACAGTTTGTGCATGTGCTTCACGTATGCTGTTGCATGCAAAACATGTTTCATCATCACATAGTCTACCAGTTTCTTGGGAGTTGCATTGTCTTCCCGGTGGCTGAATAGAATCCGAAGTTTCACCTGATACGGGTTTGGTACATAAGGGAGTATTAATCTATAGAGAGACTGATGAAAAGCTTGACCTATTTAGCGCAATTACCCTCTACTACTGCAGTGCAACTACTACTGAGATTGGAACCTGGGACTTGCTCAGTCCAGCTTAGCTATGCAGAAGTGTTCCTTACAATCATGAGTTCTCTAATTAATCAGCTTACAGATAGGAACCGGTTACTTTGCATTGTTTTCAAAAGGGCTCCTCTCTTATGTGCTATATTACATTAATTGAAATTACCCTCTACTACTGCAGTGCAACTACTACAGAGATTGGAACCTGGGACTTGCCCAGTCCAGCTTAGCTATGCAGAAGTGTTCCTTACAATCATGAGTTCTCTAATTAAGCAGCTTACAGATAGGAACCGGTTACTTTGCATTGTTTTCGAAAGGGCTTATGTGCTATATTACATTAATTGAAATCTTACCAGGTGTCCATATTGCCAGAAGATAGGAGGATGGATCATCTGGTTCTCTTTTCTCGAACTGCAACATGAAAAGATGTAATTATCAGGAGGATCAATTTAAATATAAGCTTACATGCTGCTTATATATGGATTTACAACTTAGTATTTAACCAATCAAAAATAGAAAAGAAAAACTGACCCCTTCAAGAAGAGGATGAGAATCTGGAAGTTCATATCTGTGGGTGGAGAAACAATTGATAGTAAGCAAAAAAACAAATTTACGAGAATTTTATAGCCTAGGAAAAAATTGGCTACCCTACTGCATTGGCGATCTATCAGAAGTTATTTGGAGCATCCACTTACACTTGATGTTCAGTTCTGAGCCGGCTTATATGCTTAAGTTTAGGTGTAGGAATTGAAGCAGCTGCTGGAGTTAAAGCTACTAAGGCTTTTGACATTTCGACCTGTTGAAGCTCCATATTGTTTTGCACAAAGTTCTTCACATTTTGAGTGAACTGCGCCATATTCAATTCAATTGTAGGAATTTCATCAGGATCTTCAAAGCAAACATCTTCAATGTCGATTTCGGGAGCATCTTGCTCTGGCTCAGGTGAGGCAGGCTCTTCGACAATGGGCTGTGGTGTTGCTGGCACCTCAATAATAGGTGCGGAGTTGATCAATTTGGGATGCTCTAAAGGTGTTTGATTAGCCTGGGGTAAGGTTAGCGGCTGTTGATTGAAGTTCTGGAATGGATTCTGGTCAGCTGCATTGTTCTCTGTTGCACTCACTATACTTTTCTCTTCTGGTGCTGGCAGGGCAAGCCTTGCGCTGAAAGAGAAATGTGTCAAGTATCATATATGAAAAAACAGTGCTTCAATTTTAGACTATGAAATTACTAATCTAGTTAGAATGCATTACTTGAATGTGCTAACAAGAAGGGTATTAGCTTAAGTTTGAAAATGTAGGAGTTCTATCTTATACAAGAAGAGATCCGTGAATTTCAAAGTTTCTGCTAGAGTTGCTTCATCACTGAGTGACTGACAGTATGTCATACGCTTCATGGATGAGTGAAAACACTACCAGGTTAGCTTAAGTGCAAATTTTATGTTGTCTGAGTAAGAGTAAATAGATTTGTCAAATCTAGTTTCAGCAGCCACATTCTGGATATGGTTCTTTGGATTAGATGTCGAGAAGCTTGAGAAGAAGCAATAAAGATAGACAAACAAGAGAACTAATTTCTTGCATGAAAGTATATAGAATAATAGGCAAACCTTGCAAAAGCACTTGCGAAGTGTCTGCATTCTCCTCTCATTGGACATGCGTTGCAGTTGGGTTTGCTTTTTGAACAGAAGACCTAATGAAGTAGCCATGAAATTGATTTAAACTGTGATTGCAGATGCTAGTTCTAGGGGAGAGTAACTAGTGGTATAGACATACCTTTCCAAAAGTGATCATATGGTAATGCAACTCATATCTGTAATCAAGTAGGATTTGAATCAGTAAATGCATTGCTTTATTAGAAGAAAAAATATCTTTTTTAGTTACAAGTACTATGCACGTATATTATTTTTTCTCCCTTTGAAGAAATCAACTACCCTAATCTACAAGTCCCTCTGCACTTCCTTAAAATCAAAATCTTTTCATCCACTATGCAGTATACTGTTACAATTGGATGTTTCAATAAGATGAAATGGAACCACTTACATTTAATAGTAAATTGATGCTTGTCAACCAGGCTGGGCAAAATGATAGAGAATAGGATGTTACTTACAATGTTCTTTGATCAAGCTTGCAGAGACGTGGCCAGAGGTATTTTTGAATTGACTCCAGCACAGGGTACCTGAAGAAATAGCAGAGTTAGACTGTGTAGGCAATTTTGGAAATTCTTTATATACACACTACACAAGATACTCACAATTCCAGAAGATGCAATTGTAGTGACTCTGGCAGTGGCTGCAGGGGCACCCATCCCAGTCTAACAGCTATACGCCCAACATTTGTGTCGACCTTATAAAAGACATGATTAGTGAGAAACACGGGTCATTTCATATTAATTATGTCTTCAATAATTGGTTCAGAAATCTTACCGGAAAAGCAAGGTTGTGAAGTGTTAAAAGTCGCACACACTCTACGCTCTTCAGGCCCAAGCCCCTGATGCTTAGTAGATACTCTCTGATACCATGCATGTGAATTTGTTTAGTCAGTGCAGAGGAATAGATAAAACATGGAAGAAATTATTTGGTCAATTGAAAGCTTACTTTGCTTTGTCTGGTGGAACGTCTCTCAGCCATTCAAGATCAATACTTCCATGTTCTCTAAAAATCCGATTAAGGAAATCCTGCAATTGTTCAGTTTCCATTGAACAGTCTCTTAAGGTTAGGGAATTACTTTGGTAGATGAATAATGGAGGTATCCAGATTTTAAAACAATTAGGCTGTTAATTGCAATTTTCACTGATGTACCTTGATTCTCTCTGCTAGCATATTGTTCATCCCCCGTTCTCTAATGGTATGGGATATCTCATTGACATCTGCACACCTCACTGCGTCCCAGTCTAGTGAATCCATTGTGTTTGCTGTCTTTTCTCTTTTCTTACCATTGCTCTCAGCCTGTAACCTTAAGCTGTCCCAGTCAACATTCTGCTTCTCTTTTCCAGGGCCTTCCTTTTTTGCTTTAGTATTGTGATTTGCTCCGTCTAATGTGCTACCAGCATGGATTTTTCCGTTGTTTGAGTTTGACCTCAAAACTGTGTGCTCAGACTTGCTTGAATCAACAACTACACTAACCTCCTCTCTGACATCAATAGCTTCTGAAAATGTTGGTGCT